TGGTGACGGTGATGGTGCTGGTGGTGATGGTGATGGTGTGGTGGTAGTGGTGGTGACGACGACGACGACGGCGATAATGACGACGACGATGACGACTGCCCTGACATATACGGTATCTTTTTTCCAATGCGCGGTGCCAGAGGTCCCGACCACTTCCCCAGGGCCAGTTCTTCGCCCGGGATCAGTTTCTGGTGGTCCCAGGGCCCGATGAAGGCCCCGGAGGCCGAAATCAACGGAAATTCCGTTTGGGTTGAACAACTCATATGTCGGAGGTCTGTGTCCCTGGTGGTTTTCGGGCCACTTCGGGCCTCCAGCGGCCCGTCGGGACGATCCGGGCACCATCGGGAAGCCCAGATCGGCGAAAACTGACGAAGACGCCCGAGAACTTCGTGTCGCTGGGAAGAGTTCATCTTAACCGTGAATTTGAACTCTTAACCGTGAAGAAAGTAACATTAGTGTAGTGTCATAGCGTACTGTTGAAGACATCTGGGTGTGACACTACGCTACGGTTAGCGTAGTGTCACAGCGTTGTGTTGGGGACACCTGGGCGCGACACTACGCTGTGACACTACGCTACGGTTAGCGTAGTGTCACAGCGTAGTGTTGGGAACACCTGGGCGCGACACTACGCTGTGACACTACGCTACGGTTAGCGTAGTGTCACAGCGTAGTGTTGGGGACACCTGGGCGTGACACTACGCGATGACACTACGCTGCGGTTAGCGTAGTGTCATAGCGTAGTGCTGGGGACACTTGGGCGTGACACTACGCTATGACACTACGCTGCGGTTAGCGTAGTGTCATAGCGTATTGTTGGGGACACCTGGGCGTGACAGTACGCTATGACAGCAGGCCACGGTTAGCGTAGTGTCATAGCGTAGTGTTGGGGGCACATGGGCGTGCCACTACGCTATGACACTACGCTACGGGTGATGCGGGGGAGAAGGAGTCGTTTGTTCGTTGTTTGCTTTTCTTTTGGGTTTTGCATGAGTCTGCTCCGTGAGAAAGGACACTACGCTACCGTTAGTGTAGTGTCATAGCGTAGTGCTGGAAAGACCTGGGCGTGACACTACGCTAGGCGGGGGGAAGGAATCGTTTTTTTTTCGTTTGCGTTTCCTTCGGGTTTTGCTTGACTCTGCCCCGTGAGAGGGGACGCTACGATACCGTTAGCGCAGTGTCATAGCGTAGTGTTGGGGGCACTTGGGCGTGACTTTACGTATGACACTACGCAACGGTTGAGGCGGGGGGGGGGAGGAATCGATTTTTTTCTCGCTGGCTTTTTCTTGGGGTTTGCTTGATTCTGCTCCGTGAGAGAGGACACAAGACTACCGTTAGCGTAGTGTCATAGTGTAGTGTTGGGGACACATGGGCGTGACACTACGCTATGACACTGCGCTACGTTTGAGCGGGGGGGGGAGGAATCGATTTTTTTCTCGTTTGCTTTCCCTTAGGGTTTTGCTGGGCTCTGCTCCGTGAGAGAGGACACTACGCTACCTACCGCTAGCGTAGTGTCATAGCGTAGTGTTGAGGACACCTGGGCGTGACATTACGCTATGACAATACGCTACGGTTGAGCGGAGGGGGAAGGAATAGTTTTTGTTCGTTTGCTCTTCCTTCGGGTTTTGCTTGACTCTGCTCCGTGAGAGAGGACACTACGATACCGGTAGCGTAGTGTCATAGCGCAGTGTTTGGGGCACCTGGGCGTGACCCTACTCTATGGAACTACGCAACGGTTGAGGCGGGGGTGAAGGAGTATTTTCTCGTTTGCTCTTCCTTAGGGTTTTGCTTGACTCTGCTCCACGAGAGAGGACTCTTTGCTACGGTTGGCGTACGCATGCGCGGCGCCCGCAGCCGTCAGCGGCCTCCGCGTAGTGTTGGGCACACCTGGGCGTGACACCACGCTATGACACTACGCTACGGTTAGCGTAGTGTCGTAGCGCAGTGTTTGGGACAGCATGGCGCGACACTACGCTATGACACTACGCTGCGATTATCGTAATGTCATAGCGTAGTGTTGGAGGCACCTGGGCGTGACACTACGCTATGACACCACACTACGGTCTTGTTAGAGGGACCAGGAAGGGTTTTTGGTTTGTTTGTTTTTTTTGTTGTTGTTGTTGTTGTTGTTGTTGTTGTTGTTGTTGTTGTTGTTGTTGTTGTTGTTGTTGTTGTTGTTGTTGCTGCTGCTGCTGCTGCTGCTGCTGCTGCTGTTGTTGTTGTTGTTGTTGTTGATGTTGATTTTGTTGTTGTTGTTGTTGTTGTTGTTGTTGTTGTTGTTGTTGTGGTTGTGGTTGTTGTTGTTGTTGTTGTTGTTGTTGTTGTTGTTGTTGTTGTTGTTGTTGTTGTTGTTGTTGTTGTTGTTGTCGTTGTTGTCGTGTTGTTGTTGTTGTTGTTGTTGTTGTTGTTGTTGTTGTTGTTGTTGTTGTTGTTGTTGTTGTTGTTGTTGTTGTTGTTGTTGTTGTTGTTGTTGTTGTTGTTGTTGTTGTTGTTGTTGTTGTTGTTGTTGTTGTTGTTGTTGTTGTTGTTGTGTGGTTTTGCTTTTGTCTCGCTGGACTTTGCTCCGCGGCTGAGGATTCCACGCTACATTTAGCCTAGTGTCATAGCGTAGTGTTGGGCACACTTGGGTGTGACACTGCGCTATGACATTACGCTACGATTGGCGTATGTTCTTAGCGTAGTGTTGGGTACAATGGGGCGTGACACTACGCTATGACACTACGCTACGGTTGAGGCGGAAGGAACAGGAAGAGTCTGTATGTTGTTGTTTGGCTTTGCTTTTCCTTAGGGTTTTACTCGCTGGACTTTGCTCCGTGACTGGACTTTGCGCGGCGGCTCGCGTAGCGTCATAGCGTAGTGTTGGAGACGTTTGGGTGTGACACTACGCTATGACATCACGCTCCGGCTAGCGTAGTGTCATAGTGTAGTGTTGTGGACACCTGATCGTGACACTACGCTATGACACTACGCTACGGTTGAGGCGGAGGGAACAAGAGGAGTTTGTATGATGTTGTTTGGCTTTGCTTTTCCTTAGGTTTTCTCGCTTGACTTTGCTCCGTGACAGAGGATTTAGCGCTGCGGTTTTCGTAGTGTCATAGCGTAGTGTTGGGGGCACATGGGCGTGCCACTACGCTATGACACTACGTTACGGTTAGCGTAGTGTCATAGCATAGTGTTGGGGACACTTGGGCGTGACACTATGCCACACTACGCTACGGCTAGCGTGCCATAGCGTAGTATTGGGGACGCATGGGCGTGACACTACGCTATGACACTACGCTACGGTTAGCGTAGTGGCACAGCGTAGTGCTGGGGACACCTGGGCGTGACACTACGCTGTGACAGTACGCCATGGCTAGCGTGAAGTTGGCGTAGTGTCCTAGCGTAGGTGTCAAACTTCGCGGTTAAGATCCGCTCTCGTCGCTGGAGATTCGGGTGGCCGATCCCGCCAGGGGCGGGCCCGCGAGCGCGCCGACGCCGCGGCGGAGCTGTCGGCGCTGCGGGAGCGCGGCGAGCGGCAGCGGCAGGAGCTCGAGCAGCGCCTGCGGGCCCAGGCGGAGGAGGCCGAGCGCGCGGGCGAGCGGCGCGCGGCGGAGCGCGCGTGCCTGAAGTCGGAGGGCACCAACTATACACCAAGAGCCACTCGCCTTGGCATCGCTCGGACGTGTGCACTTTTTCTCGGCGAGAACCATCGAGGACCATCCTGGATCATCGAGCAAAACAAGCACGCACGAAACCGATCAATGCGCGGGAAATGGACGTCCGAGCGACGGCAAGTCGCGTCGTGAAGAAAACGCGAGGGAATGTTTGTGGCCACGTTTGGCCTCCGGGGGCCTCTGCCTGGCCTCGGGGCCGTCGAGCAACGACTCGGGACGAGGAGCCCGCCCCGGGGAAGGGGCCCAGACCCCTGGGGGTCCACGTTATGAAGAGTCATGACGTCGGGGGTCTGGGCACCTCCACCGACCCTGGCTAGTGAGGCCTCGGTTTGCGCACAGACAGCCCACCAGGTAGTCCCGGCTGGCCTCAGCAGGCTCCCCCGAGTCGTCCAGGGCGGTCTCAATACCCCCACCGCCAGGGTGTTAAGACCGCCCACCCCACCGCCAGGGTGTTGAGACCGCCCCTGGCTACTCGGGGAGCCTTCTGAGGCCAGGCGGGATTAACGGGGAGGGCTGTCTGTGCACAACCCGAAGCTTTACCAGTCCTGGCCAGGCCGATCCTGGGCCCAGGATCGGTGTACACGCCCTCCTGGCCAAGCCAGGAGGGCGCACACACCGATCCCAAGACCTCCGATGCCGTGATGCTTTCACCACGTCACGGCCTTTCGCTCGGAACTGTTTCTTGACTCGAGGGGCGGCCAAAAGGGGGGTGATGACTAGGGGGGGTGGATATCACGGCGGGGCCCATGATATCTCCCCAGATTTCAGGGCGCCTCTTCTTATTTCAAACGTCCTTGGCCTCCCCCCTGGGCCGCGCACATGCCGCCGGCCATGATTCGCGCCCCCTCTTGGACCCCCCCCTCTTGGCCGCCCCGATTGACGGCCCCTGGGCCCGGCGAGGGAAAGCAGCGAGAAGCCCGAGGAGGAGGAGGAGCAGGGCGGAGGAGGAGGAGGCGGAGGAGGAGGGAGGAGGGAGGAGGTGGGAGGAGGGAGGAGGGCGGAGGGCGGAGGGAGGAGGGAGGGGAAGGAGGAGGAAGGAGGAGGAGGAGGCGGAGGAGGAGGAGGAGGAGGAGGAGGAGGAGGAGGGCCCAGGAGGCGCCTGGCCAGGCTCGGTGCCTCGGTTTATCGTTGGGGCGCCCGCCTCGTGAGGGCCGGCGCCGAGGCGCTGCGGGCGCGCGAGGCTCAGCACCGCTGAATCTACATACGGTGGGTTTGTGTTGTGTCGACCGGCGGCGACCCCGCCAGCGGCGTTCAGCGTTGAACGTCGCGGGCGACCTAGAATCGTTCGATGTGGAGCGATTTGGACGTTTCGGAAGCGGCCGATCGTTCAAGGTTGAACGATCCCCGCAGTGTCAGAAACCAACGCCGAAATCGGCACGACACGAACCTGACGTACAGGGGAGGCCCATGCCAAGAAACACCCTGCTCGCCTCCAGGGTGCCCTGGGTTTTTCTGGGTTTCAATGGTTTCGGTATGGATAGTGCGACGTTCCCACGCCAGAAAGCGATGGACTCCCTGGGGTCTCAGGGTCGGGCTTCTTGTGGAAGGTTTCTTGCGGTCGGGGCTCCACTGTATCCTCATCCCCGCCGGGCCATGGTACCCTTCGAAGAACAAGAAGTGGCAGAAACATACACTTGCGGAGCTCCGCGCGGATGTCTTGGATCGGCGCTGGGCCCCCCTGGCGGCGCCTCCGGCGCCGCCCCCCGCACTTCTCGCGAGCCGAGCCAGGAACGGGAGTTCCAGCGCAGATCCAAGAACTCCGCGCGGACCTCCAGAAGTGTATGTTTCTGCAGTTTCTAGTTCTTCCAGTCTCAGCCCCACCAGCCCAACCCTCCAGTTTGGGAGAAGCCCCTCGAAACCCGAAGCGAGCAGCCTGCATCCCCACCTAGGGTTATGATGTTCCAACCTACTTTAGCCTTGATCACCAGAGAGAATTTCGAGCACCGAAACTGGAGAGTTTTCACGCGTCGGGCCCTGGGAGGCGAGACTCGTTCGACACCGTTTCGATATTGTTCCGGGTGCTCGAACTTCAGATTATTTCTGGGACGTCGTCTTGAAGTACGATGGATGGGAGCAACATAGACCTAGGGGGGTGGATGGGCCAGCGGTCGGCATCACCCAAACATATTCACACAATCTAGGCCTTCCAGATGGGGTCCGAGGACATGGTGTCGGAGGGTCGCGCCGCGTCGCCGATGCTCCGCCGATGCGGCTCGATGTGCAGCCCGATTGGCTTCACGTCGACGTCGCCGATGCATCGCCGACGCCGACGACGCATCGCCGGCTCATCGCCGATGCCTCACCGCTGCATCGCCGCTGCACCGGCGATGCATTGGCGATGCAGCGGCGCTGCTCCGACCCCCGGCGGCGCCGACCCCACCCGGGAGGCCTCTGCACGACGCGTGCGTCGGCGGCCCCCCCCGGGGGGCGGCGCGCGCGCTCCCCGGGCGCGCACGGTGCTCGGGAGGGTGCGGGGCGGCGGGCGCTGGCCGCTCGGGCACTGCTCTGCTGCAGTGCAGCGAGCGCTTGCCGGCTCGTTGTTCTGCCGATCGGCGCGGGCCCTGGCACCCTCCCAATATCTAGGCCTCCTAGATGGGGTCGTAGCAGATGGGGTCGGAGGATCGCGCCGCATCGCCGATGCATCGGCGATGCGGCTCGATGATGAGCCCGACTTTCGCCTCGCCGACGGCGCCAATGCATCGTTGATACATCGCCGGTGCATCGCCGATGCATCGCCGATGCATCGCCGATGCATCGCCAATGTATCGGCGATGCGGCGCGATCCTCCGACCCCATCTACTCGGACCCCATCTAGGAGGCCTTCAGTTCTGCCGATCGGCGCGGGCCCTGGCACCCTCCCAATACCGAAGAGCCGGCGAAGCCGCCCGAGAACCTCGAGACCCGAGCATCGAGGGGGTGATCGTTTTCTCATTCGCTGTTTTGCCGATCGGCGCGGGCCCTCGCACCCCCCTCCCCCCCCACATGGAGCAGATCTTGGCTGTTTTTGGCGCCCGTCTCGAGCAGGTGGGGTCTCCTCCATGGGAGGCACGGTTGCAAGCAGTCGCGCTGAGCAGAGGTCCGGAGCCAGACACCCCCCCCCTCCCCCCCTTCCGCCCAATGTCGGAACGCCGAATCAGAAAACGCTGACTAAGATGCTTGTACTATGTGTTCGCTTCGGACGTGTGCCTCCGAGCAGGGCGCATAGCTCTTGTACGTCCCCCTGCGTCCCAAGGGGGCCGAGGCCTTACCAGTGGGGGATGGGGATCGGCTACAGGGGGGGCCCATGCCAAGAAACACCCTGCTCGCCTCCAGGGTGCCCTGGGTTTCTTGGGTTTCGATGGTTTCGCTATGGAAGGCGGGACGTTCCCACACCAAAAATCGATGGACGTCCTGGGGTCTTAGGGTTGGGTTTCGTGTGGAAGGTCTCTTGTGGTCGAGCCCTTACGTATGTGTTCGGTTCGGACGTGCGCCTGTCCCCCTGCGTCCCAGGGGGGCCGAGACCATGCCAGTGGGGGATGGGGATCGGCTAGCCTTGAATCGGGCCTGTCAATATACAGGAGGAATAACAAAAGATATCCACAAACAGCATGGGGACGGTTCCATGACTATTTTCGAACTGTTTTTTACAGCATTTTTTGACTATCTGTTCATTTTCCGTCCAAGATCCGCCTGTAGCAGGACATGCCCGACCTGATGCTATGTGTTCGGCTCCGAAGTGCGCCTCCGTGGAGGGCGCACAGCACTGGCATGTCCCCCTGCGTCCCAAGGGGGCCGGAGACCCCACACCGGTGGGGGAGGGTGGTCGGCTGTAGCCGATGCTCGAGAGGCCGAGCTGCTGCAGCGCAGCGAGGGGCTGGCGCAGGACCTGCAGGGCCTGCTGGCCCGGGCCGACGCCAGTGCGCAGGAGGCCAGCGGCCTGCGGGCGCAGCTGTCAGAGGCCCGCCGCGAGTCGAGCCCTCCTCCGGCCGTGGTCGTGGTCGTGGTCCTCGTGGTCGTCGTGGTCCTCGTGGTCGTCGTGGTCGTCGTGGTCGTCGTCGTCGTCGTCGTCGTCGTCGTCGTCGTCGTCGTCGTCGTCGTCGTCGTGGTCGTCGTCGTCGTCGTCGTCGTCGTCGTCGTCGTCGTCGTCGTCGTCGTCGTCGTCGCCCCCGCCGCGCGGAACGCCGCGAAGCCGTGGAAGCCGCCCAGCGAGCGGCCATCGTTTCTGACCACGTCCCTGCCTCTGGCTCGGCTCCCCGAGGTGCAGGCGTCACGGGCCCCGAGCACGTGCATGTCCCTTGGAACGAAGCTCTGCGCTCTTCTTCGGAGCCTCTGGCGCCCGAGCTGAGACGAGGCAGCCGTGCTTCGTGGGCTGCTGGCCCTCCCGTCGGGCCACTGTCGGGCCCCTCCCCCCCCTCCGCTGCTGGCTCTGCCTGGGGCTCGGGACCGGGGGGGGGGGTCCGGAGGATCCTTTGCGCTCGGCTGGCAGGTGTGCTTCTCTGGCCACGCCTGGAAGCAGCGTGGCCCCTGGAGTGGGAGTGAAGGCCCTGGCTGGGCGCCCTGGGATGAGGAGGAGGAGGAGGAGGATGAGGAGGAGGAGGAGGAGGAGGAGGAGGAGGAGGAGGAGGAGGAGGAGGAGGGGAAAGGGAGGAGGAACGGGAGAGGAGGAGAAGGGAGAGGAAGGAGAGGAGGAAGGAGGAGGAGGAGGGAGGAAGGAGGAGGAGGAGGAGGAGGAGGAGGAGGAGGAGGAGGAGGAGGAGGAGGAGGAGAGAGGAGGAGGGAGGAGGAGGAGGAGGAGGAGGAGGAGGAGGGAGGAGGGAGGAGGAGGAGATGCTGCAGAGAGCGGGCCACCGTTGGAGCCGAGGCCGGGCGGGGAATAAATGGCCGCTCGTCGGTCTGGTGCGGCGTGCGGTCGCGCGCGGCCGCCTCTCCGCCCGCTGCACGGCATCGACCCCCAATCGCCCATTGATCGCCGATAGGGGCCCGATAGCCCCAACCTGCCCAGGGGGGTGCGGATTCACGATCGGAGGCGTATCGCCGATCTATCGGCGATGTGTCGCCGATTCCAGGTGGATGCGTCCCCCCCTATGCCAGTCCCCCCCCTATCGTTGCCCCTCAGGGACGCGGGGGGGCCCGCCCGTCCTCTCCCACCTCTGGCTCCTCTGGCTGGTGCTGCGTTTGCTATAGGCTTCATTCCAGAATCCCAGAATCCCTCCTCCTCCTCCTTCTCCTGTTCCTCCTCCTCCTCCTCCTCCTCCTCCTCCTCCTCCTCCCCCAATCCTCCTGTTCCTCCTCCTCAGTTCTCTTAGCCATTGTGGCTCAAGGCAGGGTGGGGCTCAAGGGGCAAGGTTTTCCGGTTCCGATTCCAGGCAACATATATATATATATATATATATATATATATTGTAATGGCCTCTGGCCAGTGCCGCCGATCTGGGGCGCTCCCGATGCGTGTGGGAACGGACGATGACGACGACGACGACGACGACGACGACCGACGACCGTCAACGACGGACGATGATGACGACGACGTCCCTCCTCCCCCCGCTGCCCTCCCCGGTTTCTTGGACCCCCCCCCCGCTTGAGCTCGACCCCTTCCTCCTCCGTCCCGCTGAGCTTGAGCTCGACCCCCCCCCGTCCTCGCTCGAGCTCCCCTCCTCCCCCCTCGATTCGTGGACCCCCCCCCGCGCTGACCCCCCCCCCGCTTGAGCTCGACCCCCCCTCCGTTCGACCCCCCCCCGTCCTCGCTCGAGCTCCCCCCCTCCCCTCGATTCTTGGACCCCCCCCTCCGCGCTGACCCCCCCCTCCCCCCGCTTGAGCTCGACCTCCCCCTCCGTTCCCCGCTCGACTTCCTCCTTGGACCCCCCCTCCGCTTGAGCTCGACCCCCCCCCTTCCTCGCTCGAGCTCCCCCCCACCCCCCCCTCGATTCTTGGACCCCCCCCCGCGCTGACTCCCCCCCCCGCTTGAGCTCGACCCCCCCCCCCCCTCTCCTCGCTCGAGTTTCTTTCCCCCCTCCCTCCTCAATTCTTGGACCCTCCCCTCCCCGGTTCCTTGGACTCCTCCCCCCCCCGCTTGAGCTCGACCCCCCCCGCCGTCCCCGCTCGAGCTTCCTCCTTGGACCCCCCCCGCTTGAGCTCGACCTCCCCCCCGTCCTCGCTCGAGCTCCCCCCACCCCGATCTTGGACCCCCGCCCCCGCGACCCCTTCCCCCGCGCTGAACCCCCTACCCCCCCGGCATGAGCTCGACCCCTCACCCTCCGTTCGAACCCCCTCCCCCGTCCTCGCTCGACTCCCCCCCCTCCCTTCGATTCCTTGACCCCCCCCCTCCCTCGCGCAGACCCCCCCCCGCTTGAGCTCGACCCCCCCCTCCGTCCCGGCTCGAGCTTCCTCCTTGGGCCCCCCCCCCCGCTTGAGCTCGACCCCCCCCGTCCCGCTCGAGCTCCCCCCCCCCCGTCGATTCGTGGACCCCACCCCCGCGCTGGAGCGTTCACTGAATTACGTGGATAATTCGCCAGATCCCCCCTCCAGAGTGAAGCTTGAGCGAGCTCAAGCCCACGCTCTCAGAAACTCACACGCCGGATCGGCGGATATGTATGTATGTATGTATGTATGTATGTATGTATGTATGTATGTATGTATGTATGTATGTATGTATGTATGTATGTATGTATGTCTGTCTGTCTGTCTGTCTGTCTGTGTGTGTGTATGTATGTATGTATGCATGTATGTATGTATGTATGTATGCATGTATGTATGTATATAGGCATGTATGTATGTATGTATGTATGCATGTATGTATGTATGTATGCATGCATGTACGTATGTATGCATGTATGTATGCATGTATGCATGTATGTATGCATGCATGCATGTATGTATGCATGCATGCATGTATGTATGTATGTACGTATGTATGTATGTGTGCACATATGTATGTATGTATGTATGTATGTATGTATGTATGTATGTATGTATGTATGTATGTATGTATGTATGTATATGTATGTATGTATGTATGTATGTATGTATGTATGTATGTATGTATGTCTGTATGTATGTATGTATGTATGTATGTATGTATGTATGTATGTATGTACGTATGTATGTTTGTATGTATGTATGTATGCATGCATGCATGCATGCATGTATGTATGTATGTATGTATGTATGTATGCATGCATGCATGTATGTATGTATGTATGTATGTATGTATGTATGTATGTATGTACGGGTGTATGTATGTACGCATGTATGAATGCATGCATGCATGCATGCATGTATGTATGCATGTGTTTATGTATGTGTGGATGTATGTCTGTCTGGGTGTCTGACTGTCTGTCTGTCTGTCTGTCTGTCTGTCTGTCTGTCTGTCTGTCTGTATGTATGTATGTATGTATGTATGTATGTATGTCAGTTCTGTTACCTGGCGTGTACACAGGATAGTTCAGAACATGCAAAAACGTACAGGATCGGCGACGGAAGAGACACCAGATCGTAAGGAGGGCCTCAGGAGCGGCATGAAGGATATTACTGACGTGGATATCGAGGATCGGGGGTGAGTCCGAGGTGGAGATGGTTCCAGGAAGCACAGGAAGCAACAGAAGCAGGGTAAAGAAGGCGCTCACATGGTTCCAGCGGTACGAAGTACGCCAACACAAACAACTCGACACACGAAAGGCCGATATGGAAAGCTACATACACACACATATGTATATATGCTCACACCCCCTCCCAAGCTATACCCTTTCCATGCCCTGTTCCAGTCTTCCCCTCCTCCTCCTCCTTTCTTCCTCAAATCTCCTCCTCCTGTTCTCTTCTCTTGTCTTCGTGCGCTTCCTCTGGGTCGTGCTTCGGCTTTGTAGTGGGTTTACACTAACATTCCTTGAGGAGGAGGGGGAGGAGGAGGAGGAGGAGGAGGAGGAGGAGGAGGAGGAGGAGGAGGAGGAGGAGGAGGAGGAGGAGGAGGAGGAATATGAGGATGAGGATCTACCGCCAGGAGGGAGATGATGATGATGATGAGAGGGGGGATTCTATAACAGTTTTTGGTACTACCAAAGCACCAGCCAACCACTCCAAAGGGCGCCCTTTGGACAGCGATGGTGTCCACCCAGAAGCAGGTGACGCGCCAGAAACGTCAATGGGCCGAGGCCCTCGCACAGGGAAGGCCTTTCACGCCCAAGGGTGGCTGGCTGTTCGACCCCGCCGTCGAGGAGGCCAGGATGAAGGAGAGCCAGCAGAAAACAGGGGGACACGCCACGGAGCACCTCTCCGAGGGAGTAGAGCTCAGAGGCGATTAGTGCGCACGTCGTCCGCGATTTTTCTGGCCGTTTCGCTCGGGACATCCTCGAATTTCTGAAAATCGGTGGCACCCCTCACGCAGATCGTGACGTCAGGGTCCAACAACACATGGGGATTTCAACATTTTAACATACAGCCTTCACGAACACATGGTAATTTCAACAGTTTTGACCCCGATTCTCAGAGAATGGCGGTTTCGCCTGAGACATCCTCCCAAAACCGAGCCCCAGACCCCTCCTCGGAGCCTCCTGGGGGCCTCCTGGAACCTCCTGGGGGCTCCTGTGGCTTTCTGGACCTTCTGGCGCCCCAGACCCCGCCTCGGAGCCTCCTGGAGTTCTCCTGGGCCTGCTGAGGCCGCCTGGGGCCTCCTGGGGCCTCGTGGGGCTTCAGAACTGCATGCGCACGCAGAGACGCAAATCACGCCCGACACATCACACGTTAGACAAACATAACATACGCACAACACCGACAACGCACAGAAAGCACGCGCCACACAAAGCACGCATCACACACACAACGCTCGCAATCCTGGGGCCTCCTGGAGCCTCTTCTGGTATCCAAGTCGGGCCTCCTGAGGCTTCCTGGGGGGGGCCCTGGTACACGCATCGCAAGGTGTGGCAGCCCCACTTGCGCTCGAGTGCGACTTCGCTGTTGCATGTCACT